TATATATATATATATATATATATACAAATACCCGATATGACACCCTGTCGGAACATAGAAAATAACATACTCGTAGCTGTGCATGTGATGTTGCAATTCCTGCATGCTAGTGTGCTGTCCATGCAGCTGGGCTTCCAACCTGTTGCAATGTTTCTTCACTGTCACAAGTGACGGCACAGGATGATATGTTTACCAGACCACATTGATTGTACGACAGAGTATATCTAGTATTTTTTAAAGTGTTCAATGTTATCGTCGTTGTTTGGGTTACAATAACAATATAATACTTATATAACATCATATAACATGTACCAAACTTTTTTATATATACCTGTAGAAGTGAAGGCATCTAAGATATTATATACACATGTGCTGATGGTTATTGTGTGTGCATGATCATGCAGATGTGGGACAAGGGTTTAATATATATATATATATATATATATACAGAAATATATACGTGTCGAGTTTCATACCTATAATAAATATAGTATTGTGGATAATTTCATATATAATACCAATGTAATATTCCAATATATAGATGCCCATCAATCTACATATCTATATATATATATATATATATAGACCCTTGTATTATGTGACTATCATGACACACATGTAGCATAATTGCCTTGAGGCCTCCATTCAAAAGATCTTTGGCCAGAGACTTCGAGAAAGTCTCTGAGGATCGGCGCCAGGAGCTGCTGGCAAGTGGGCCAAGTCAGGACTTGTTGGCAAGTGGGCCGCAGGAGGATCTGTTCGCAAGTGGGCCGCAGGAGGATCTGTTGGCAAGTGGGCCACAGGAGGATCTGTTGGCAAGTGGGCCACAGGAGGATCTGGCAAGTGGGCCGCAGGAGGATCTGGCAAGTGGGCTGCAGGAGGATCTGTCGGCAGAAGGGCCGCAGGAGGATCTGTCGGCAAATGGGCCGCCTGAGGCACAGGATGATGACATGCATCAGGGTCTTGAGTCATGTGGGCCAGAGTTGCCACCAGCTGCCCCGCCGTGTGAGCCTACAGAGGCTATGGATCCGGAAGATGTGCTAGATGTGCACAGCCAGGAGGAAGTGATGGCACATGACATGCAAGTGGAATTGCGAAAGAAGAGGCAGCTGGAACTCAAGCGACGCCGTGAGAACGATGCTGCTGTGAATGGTCAGGCCAAGAAGCCGAAGGCGACTGCAGCTAAGAGGATCATGAAGCGCCCGGCTGCAAAGCAGGCTGCTCCGGAAGAGCTTCCTGAGGATGGCTTGGCAGCGGGTGTGGCAGAGATTGCGGGGCCCTCTGCTGCTGGGGATGGCGTGGCAGCGGCTGCGGCAGAGATGGTGGAGCCACCTGTGGCTGAGGCAGAGATGGCGCCACCGGCTGCTGAGGATGCGGGAGTGGAGCCTGAGCCGAAGGCTAAGGGGCGTGGCCGTGGCCGTGGTGGACGTGGGGGTCGCAAAGGACGGATGATCCAAGAGGCTCCGGAGGCGAATGATGAGGTATCGGCTGCTGAGCCAAAGGCCAAGGCCAAGCGACGTGGCCGTGGTCCGGAGGCGAATGATGAGGTATCGGCTGCTGAGCCAGAGGCCAAGGCCAAGGGACGTGGCCGTGGTCCGGAGACGGATGATGAGGCATCGCCTGCTGAGCCAGAGGCCAAGGGCAAGGGACGTGGGCGTGGGCGCGGTGGCAGGAAGCCACAGGATGCAGAGCCTCGTGGCCGTGGTCGTGGAGCTGCACAGCGTGTTGCGGACAATGATGTGCCAGCAGAGGAGGAGGAGAAGACCCCCCCCCGTAAGGGGCTTTCGGATGAGCAGAAGAGGATCTGCAGGGAGTTGCTTGGCTGCTGTAGCATGAGCTTGAGTCGGTATTCGTGACACTTCCATGTGGAATATGAATATTCATGCTACAAGTTATCTGTGATAGTGCATACTCACGGCCCAAATGGTATACTTGTTTGTGCATGTACTCATGCATGTACCTGTACCTGAAGCATGCCACTTGGTATATGGTTAAAACCAGATATGCATATATATATATATATATATACAGATGTAATATACATCTACATCCAAATCTATATCGGGATCTATATCTAAATCGATATCTATGTCTTTATATATATATATATATATAATATACAGATCATTGTGCATGCATGCTTGAAGCATGCACTTGGTATATGGATGAGAGCATATATCTACTCATATATAAATAAATAAATATATATATATATGTATATATAATGCAGTTCAGATCATTGCACAAGTGTATGCATGGGTATGGGGGTGTATGATGTCATAGTGGTGGGTTGCTAGAATTGATTGTGCACTGGACAGCTCAGAGAGGCTGATATTCGCTCAATGAAAGAGATTTGTTTTTAGAAGTCTGTATGTATATAATATATATATATATATACTCAGTATCCATACAATCTATACATTATATTATTCAGATATACAATCGTATATATATATATATATATATATACATAGAGAGAGAGAGAGATATAACATCTGTGTGTAGCTTCTTTGGGCAGTGTCATGTGTGCCCTCGTCGCAAGAAGCTGTGAACTTCAGGCTGGTTCAGCAAGGTGCGAATTACCGTCTCGAGCTGTACTGGACGCGAGGTTCCATCGGTGTTCGGCAGAAGAATGGGCCCCAGGTTTGGAGCATGACATTCGGGAACATGAAAGTCGGCATCCTCGTGGCCAATGAGGTGGTGGCTCGGCAATGGTATGCCTTCTAGATTACATGCTCTCATGCTCTGAGCAGTGCAAGTCTTAGGGCAGGCATTGTAAATTGCAATTGCCATAACACAACATGGTGTTGAGGTCACATTGTGTGACAGAGATGTGAACATCAATGCTGTGGAAGTGCGCGAGAAGATCATGGAGTATCGTGCAGAGCTGGAGGCTAGGCATGGTGTGAGGTGGCCATGAGCAAAGCTCATCGGGCATCACTTTTGAGCAAAGGGATGAGCTTGTCCATTGCAAGGAAGTGTGCATACAGCATAAAAGGATGGTGGTAATATTCCCAGGAAGGATTGCTGTTTGGGCAAGCCGAGCCCTTCTTGCTGGAGGATTGGCAATGCGTGGGGATAGTATAGGGCTGTGTCGATACCAAGATAGGATGCAGGACCAGGCCAGCTGTGTCGCAGAATATGCGTGGAGATGAGCCTATAGACCCTGCTGCTGAACCAGTGGTCTTATGACTTACTGGCTGGGGTGGTGTTCCGCAGCCTCTGAACCTTACGTGCCACAGGGGATCCTCTAGATCGTTCTTGAAGCTCCGTGTGCTAGATGGAGACCAAAAAAAGGAGCTATTGCAGAGTGTGATCGTTTCGTCGGCTGACTGCTGCAAGTGCATGTGTGATGCTATACAATATATGTGTGCAGAGGCCGGTTGAGTGGATGTTGA